AGAGCTAGGTGGTTGAGATATAGAAAGAGACACCCAAGAAGCACCGTATTGCAACTGTTTCAGTGGGCATAGAAGTGTCTTAATTGCTTACTTGCTACAGCTCTGCCAACTGGGTATATTTAATGTCTGCTTGTATATGCATCTTTGGGCACTTCTGAATTTATCTGTTGCTTAAATTGCTGTAGTGCAATTACTACTTCAGTGGAAATTTATATTGTTATACTCAAATGACATTTGAATGTAATTTGCATTGTATCACTATACGTAAATGTAAATTGCATTCTGAAAAAGCACACTACTTTATTCTCCTAGAAAAATCATCAAGGTTCTTTTCATCTTCTCCTGTGTGAAATTCATTATACAAAATATTAATCTTTGCTTATATGTTTACAGACAATGTTATTGTTCTCTTTAATTTTGTAGTTGTAAAACTATGGCTGTCTTCTCACAGGTTTATATAATGAGTATTCTCTTCTGAGGCCAGGAACTTTGGGTACTTTGTCCATATGGTGCTGAGTTCCCAGGAATTAAAAGAAAATGTATTTTAAGAGTTTTTATACTTTTCATTAACGAAATTAGGCTTCTGTCTACCATATTAGTCTTGTCCGTTTTAACTTTGTACCTTTATTAGCTTTAAAGAATAAACTTTCATTTCTATGTGGCTAGAATGATCAGGCTTTCCTCTTTGGAATTCTAGCCATGTGTCACCTTTCAAAGCCTTTTCTATTGTAAGTTTATTAAAGACAGTTACCCAAGTTCATTTTAGACTACTTTTATGGTTTAAATTTAATATTTTATCCATATGGAATCTATTTTAGGATAATGAGTTAGGTAGGAATCTAGCTTAATTAGTTTCCAAATGGCTAGCCAGTCGTCAAAACACAATTTATTGACTAATCAGTGTTTCCTCAACAGCTTATACTGAATTCTCAAACATACTCAATACTTTCTGACATGTGCCAGTGATCTTATTTTTGTTTCAGTATGTGCTATTTTAACTACTGTAACTTTGTAGTGTATTTCATATTAAGCAATGCTATATACTTTTTATTTTTAATTTACACTTTTCTTGATAATACAATAGATACAATCATACACCAATTAAAATTTTGATTTCTTTATATTTCCTACTTGGAATCACAGTTAAATTCATAGATTAGAGGTAAATGAAATAACATTTAATCTTTTTAGAAAGGAGAACGCGTTTTTCTAAATATCAATATTTTCAGCAGAGTTTAATGTTTTTGCTTTTTAAAAAAGTATGGCTCTGAGTCTTAGCTTATATTGAGAATTACATTTTTCTCTTTGTATAAACTTACACTACTTTTAAATATGTATAGGGGATCTATTTATTATTATTATTTATCTTTTTAGCTAATAGTTGAGTTGTCATTGTTGATTTGCCTCTTCGGAGTCCACTAGATAGGCAACTATTCCACTTGAAAATACTACCTCCACGTTTTACAGTACTTTATTTTTTATTTCATTTTCTTGATTAATTATGTTTTTCAAAAATAGGAAAAACATCAAAGTGTAAGGAAGTGAATGGGGAAGTTTTCTAGGGACCATATCATATTAAGAATAAAACAAAATGCTGAGTGCTTTTTATCTAGGGCAGCCACTTTTGTGTATAGTTTCCACTATATAAATCATTTGGGGGTCATGTTTTCAAGCTGAGCATTCACCTTCTGCTCATAATTACCTCAATAATTTTAAAATAAAAACTGATAGCTGTGGACAGCTATAAATAACCAACCTAAAGCCACTCACTCACATCATGTTTTTAAACAGTTGTTTTGCTTTATTTTGTCAGTAACTTAAACCATGTGGAAAGGACAATTTTTTCTGCATATGCACATTCTTTAAATTGCTTTAATGGCAAATGATAGCACTGGGTATGTTTTTGTTAATTTATATACTTTCAGAGATAGAAAGGTTAGTTTTTTTAACCAGTGTAAAGTTAAAACAACAACAAAAACCATGTACCTTCTAAAGCAACAACTGTTTTTTTAAACCTGTGTTAAATGGTGTTTATACAACAGAAACATTACTGGACAGACTGCTGTGTATTCAGCTCTATTCCATTGCTGGAAGTTAATGTATCAGTGACAAAATATATCTATTAACTACCATTTGGTGATGACTCTTGGGACCTTGAAGTTGAATGCATGAATAGATTTCCAAATAATCTTAAAGATCAACTTGTGAAACTGAAGACTGAGATTCACGCCATCTAAAAACGGACCAATTTAGTCTGCTAGCAGACATGTTGTAGGACAGCCACAGGAGTGGACAGGAGCAACACCCAGAAATCACCTATTTAAAGGATCAATAACTTAATATAACAGGGGGTGGGAATGAGAGTACCTCGGGGTACCTGACTTTAAATGAAAGCATTTATGTATGTGCCATAAAAGTAGTCATTGTGCTGAGCTTATGTGGATCACTGCTCTTTTCTGACCTATTGAACACTTGGGCCTAGTGCATGAACAAACAGAGATGAGATGAAAAATGTGATATATGAGAGGTTAAATGAAGCCAAGGTGGTGACTGCTTAAAAAATAGGTTTTATAGTTAGCCAATTCTACGACTTTTCCAGGTGAACACAGGAGGCTCTCATCTACACTTACAGCAATACTATATTTTTTACCATCATTAGGGATGAATTGAGTTGGTAATTTATTTGTACCTACTGTTTTATTTTGTTCTCACTGAAAATTTGGTCTTCCTCCTTAAGATTTCTATTCTATGTAAGGAAATGTTAAAAATGTCAAAATTCGCCGTGAGTGGTCAAGATTTATGCTTAAGTAATCTTGCATCCAATTATAAAGAGAAAGATTTTCATAAGGACCAGGAACCTAGGAAGAGGAAGGAGAAATACATTAAAAAGTACAAAGTTCTAGTCTATATTTTGAGTGCTGAAAAGCTAGAGGTGAAGAGTAAGTGCTGAGCCAGCACCAAACAGGGCATTACATATGTTACACATACTGCAGACATTCAGATATTAGTAGTTGAGATCTTAGTTGGTTCTAGAAATCTGAAACATAGAGATTGCAAGACAATTATTTTTAATAACTTTGGTGCTCTGTCCATTGATCCCTAAGGAGATACACATTGCCATTATGTGACCAGGTTCATTTTAAATATCAAGTTGACATTGTGTTAAAGGTATGGAAATTTATAAATCTCAAAATTGCATAAAATTTCCAATAAAATGATATTTTTGGAAGGCAACACCACACACACACACACACACACACACACACACACACACACACACACATACACTCACACCACAGAGACCTAGCTTTCCAACTTACTATGATGATTAAGACTTCTTGTTGAGATGTAATTTTGAATTTAATAATTTCCTGACAAATTATTTTGATATCTGCTAGAAAGATAAGAAAACAGACATTGTGATCTTAAAAAATGAGTTCTAGAAAATTTTAATCTCAATAGACTGTTTTCTTTACATTTAGTTCATGGGAATTTGAATATAAGAAAATTGAAATAGAATCAGTCTTTAAATGGAAGTATATCCCACAGATGTGCCCAGTAATTATTTGATTTATTTATGGACTATATTAAACAGTTTTTTTTGTGGCTCTGACAAAATAATCTTCAAAAGGAAGGTTTCTTGGTTTATTTGGCTCATATTTTCAGAAGTTTCAATCTAAGCTTAGCTAGATCCCTTTTCTAGAGCCTTGACTGAGGCAGATTACTTGGTAGAAGTGTGTGGTTAGAGTCTACTTAATTCTTATTATCCAGGACTCAGAGAGAGACATGTGTAAGACAAATTGCTAAATGGTCTTATTAATAAAAAACCTAGAGCCAGATATTGGGGTTAAAGCTGAAAGATCAGAGAGACAGAACAAGCCACAGCCAGCCTCACCTCTACAACTTCTCAGCTGATCCTGTTTTCCTCTGAGTCCTCACTGGAAAGGATCTCAGCTGAATTGCTTAAAAGCCTCTAGGTTCCTGGTCCTCATGCCTTATATACCTTTCTGCTTCCTGCCATCACTTCCTGGGATTAAAGGCATGTGTCCTTTCCCAAGCAAAGACATGAGATCTCGAGTGCTGGAATTAAAGGTGTGTGCCACCACACCTGGCTCTGTTCCCAGTGTGGCCTTGAACTCACAGAGATCCAGATGGATCCCTGCCTCCTGAGTGATTGGATTAAAGCCATGTGTGCCACCACTGTCTGGCCTTTATGTCTAATCTAGTGGCTGTTCTGTTCTCTGATCCCCAGGAAAGCTTTGTTAGGGTGCATAATATATCAACCACAGACATGGGTAGATAGAAGATGAGGATAAGACATACTCCCTAAGGACACATCTTACTAACCTCTACTTCATTCAATGAGGATCCAACTTCTAGTTTTTCCCTGGTCCTCATCATGCTATGATATCCTGAACCTATGAAGCCACCAGGCCACTTATTAGATTAGAACTTTCAGTTTCCAGTCACCTCTCCATGACTGGACTCATCACTTGGGGACCAAGACATTAACACATGAGCCTTTGGAGTGAGTGCTTCATATCCAAACCATAATAGTCTGCTTTAACTGAAGAGAAACACCAAGGTAGATATAAATGTCCTTATATCTTAGGCAATTAAAATATTCATTTTAAACAGCTGATGACAATCATCCTCTTATTCTAAGTACCAGAAAACTGATAGTAGTTTATGAAATTAATCAGAGTGCTTTCAGTACTGAGACTGAAATTCACTTTAACTGATTTGGGGAAAATGGTAATTTATTATTGATATATGTAGCAGAGGAGGATATAAAGGTAATTCATGGATAAAGGAAACATTGAACTGCTACCAGGAATCTGTTCATTTCTCTGCTTTTAATTGATTTTTCTTCCCCGACTCTTTAGTCTTTGCTTTGTTTATGTAAAATCAACAACAACAAAAGAAAACACCAAAAAGCCAATGGTCCATGTGGAGCAGGGAGCTAAGTTACTGATTAGTAACCTGCTCTGTCTTTCCACTCACAAAGGTGCCTCGTGTCTTAGGTACACAACGTTTAAGTGCCAAGGTTAATCTTCTAAGATCAAAGAATGAAATTGTTTACGGAATAAGATGATTTGAATAAAGAGAAATTATATGGGGGATTAAAAATCTATTAAAATTTCCATTTTTTTAAAATGAAGCAACTTTGAGAACTAGGGGGTTAGGGAACTCCATCTGTACTGGATCCAGACATACTACAAACTCAAAGAATGACATTACTACTTTCAGCTAAAAAGAAGATGAATGAACACACATATCCACTTGTATATTGTCCCCAGCTCCACTGAAAAGGATTAGAAAATACATTTTATTTATTTTTATTTTTTATTTTTTGGTTTTTCGAGACAGATTTTCTCTGTGTAGCTTTGTGCCTTTCCTCGATCTTGCTCTGTAGACCAGGCTGGCCTCAAACTCACAAAGATCCGCCTGGCTCTGCCTCCTGAGTGCTGGGATTAAAGGCATGCGCCACCACCATCCAGCCTAGAAAATACATTTATATTAAATGATAGACCCCATATAAGAGAAAACAGAGAAGGAAGAAAATTAGCACAAGATTCTTGGAGCTGTTAAGCAGCTCATTAAGTGGTAATGATTTAGCAAAGCTGAAAATGCTAAATCTCAAGCCAGCAGCAGAAATGATAAAGTATATAGTAGCCTCATTTGCTTCACAGAATCCCAAACTGTTTGGAAGTAGCAGCTTCAATGTGGAGATTATTGGCAGAAGGTTATATGAAAAGCAATGGGAGGCTCTGCCCCTTCTCTATGCAGCTGGAGGACTGCACCAGTCCACTCTAAGTAAAACTCTGAGGTTTATTGCTTCACAAGGAAAATACAGTAGGGCTCTAGAAGCAGTTCTTGGAAAATGGTTGTCCTCAAAAATGTGTGTAAAATCTTGGAATCGGAAGCACAGCAATAAAATATCATGATGTTATTCTATTGTGAAGATAATTAATTATACCTCATGTTCAAATCTTCTTGTCAAGTGTTGGTCTTTGCCTTGTTTTTTGTTGTTTTGTTTTGTTTTCATGAGACAGGGTTTCTCTGTGTAGTTTTTGGTGCCTGTCCTAGATCTCGCTCTGTAGACCAGGCTGGCCTTGAACTCACAGAGTTCTGCCTGGCTCTGCCTCTTGAGTGCTGGGACTAATGGCGTGATCTCTGCCTTTTAATATGAGCAGATATTCAAGCTTACTGAACTTGTGAGAGAGAAAAGACTTTCTCTATGAGTATAGAGGAAACGAGATAAAGAAAAAGAAAACAGTGCAAAGTGTTGGATGAAGCAGAGGCTATGTGTGGGAATAAGGATTGACAAGTATTCATAGCCTCAAGAGAGGAGAAGACCATGCAAACTGAAAGTAATCCAGAGTTCCTAGAAATTAAAAATATAAGCAGGAGGGGTTAAATAGGGTGGGACATGGAGGGGAGGTGGGAATATGTGATGAACTAACACTACAAACCGTTGAAATGCCACATGAAAGCACAGTACTTCAGAAATTTCCTAATGTATATTCATATGCATGTATAAAATGAATTTAAATGGAGTTATTCTATAACGGAGTCACAATGCTTCCCTCCCCAGACATTATATACTTTCCCAGGACACTTTCAATTTTCCCCATCTCCCATCACTGTTCTTTCCCAAATTCATGTGCTCTGTTTAAAATATATTATTCTTATTAATTCTATGAAAAACTCATAGAATTTATGTTTATCATATTTGCCTCACTCAAATCCCCCTAAGTTCTCCTAGATCTTCCTCACTTCCTTATCCCCTAACTTCATGTCTTTTTTTTTTTTAATACAACCCAGGGGATTTTTTTGGTGTCACCCGGGTACTCATGGGTGTGATACCATCTTGGAGCATGGCCAACTTACCTGGGCCCTTACTCTTAAAGAGAACTAACTCTCCCTCCCCTGGAAGCCACCAGCTGTTCATAGCTCCTTAGTTAGGAATGGAAGCTGGGGAACAACTCCCCATGCTGGAATGTCGGCTGACTTGGTCTTGCGCAGGTCTTGTGTAGGCAACCACAGCTTCTGTGATCAGGGGTACAGCAGTTCTGTCATATCTAGAAGGCATGAGCATAACTAAGCCGTGCTGGTCAAGGTGCAGTCCCACCCACAATCATAGTCTGGGCTGCAGACTCTCTGGCAAAAATGCTCTGACAAGATGTCAGAACTATGAAATTTCCTTCTAAGAGACAAGCCATCCTTCTGCGTGAGTTTCCTCTGTAAATTCCAATTTCTTGGGGTCCATTATTTCAATAGTTTGATACTTGGAGTAGCACAGCTGTCTCACTAGAGCATTTTCACTCTTGCCATGTAAGTTACAGGGTAGGTCTTCCCACCTCAGTCAGATGTCTCTGAAAGCACCCTTATACCATGTGCAGAGATTTTTCTCCTGGCTGATATATCTAATCAAATCAACAGTAAAGATTAGCAATCTTAAATCCATCCCTTAGTCAAGCTGAAGCCCAAATATATCACTAACATTTCACTTCTGTTCCCTATGTTCATTTCATAATGCAAAAATAAAATAAACACATTTTATCCATCTTTAAAAGCTTCCAACATATCTTTACTTCCAAAATATTCATAATTTAAGTTCAGAATCTTGTTCGTGACTCAAATAAATTCTTAACAGTGAGCCCCTAGAAAATAAAAATGGTGGGACTGGGGATTTAGTTCAGTGGTAGAGCGTTTGCCTAGCAAGCTCAAGGCACTGGGTTCAGTCCTCAGCTCTAGGAAAAAAAAACAGAAGATAAAAATGGCATATAATTTCTACGTATGACACAGGATAAATATTGCCAACCCTAAATGAAGGAATGGGAGCATTCCAACTTGAGACTGGACCAAGGCAAGAACAAAACCCTAATAAGGCAAACACCAAATTCTACAGCTCTGTGTTGGTCATCTGAGACTTCTGGTGGTAGCCTCTCATCTACCATAGGCTTGGGGAGCCCCGACTCTGGAGTTTTGCTGTCTGGAGCACACTTAACCTACTTCTAGAGTCAGCTCCACTTCACGCTTGAAGTTTCCCCAGCACACATCTCACTGTCCTGCCATCTCCAACATGCTGGGATCTCCACTGCAGGCTTCCCTGGCTTAAGGCAATGGCCTCTTGGGTTCCTTTGAAGTAGTCTGGCCTTGCCTCACATTGCCTGGTCTCAGCAGCTTTCTGGAACCTTGGTTCAGATCTCCATCACTCTTGTACTCTTCTATTTTGTATGCCTGTAATGTGAGTACTGTGTAGAGCATGCTGCCAAGTTCTTCAGCAAGCTCAAGATGTAGTCTGGCCCCTTTCAACCCAATTGTAGTGCTCTCTGGGCACTTAAATGGCTGAGTTTTTGTTTGTTTTCTTTTTTTTTTTAAATTTTCTAAGCAATTGGAATTTTTAAAAACCAGAAAAACCCCTCAGTGACTTTTTTTTTTTTCGGTATAGATTCCTTTCAAATGAATTTGTACTTTCACAAGTTGGAGCCTTTGATAGGTAGACTCTTATTCTCAAGACGCTTTTCCTATCATCCCAGTAAAGAATAGGTTTTCTTTAATGATACCGATCTTTTTAACAATTATAGCTGCCGTCTCCAAGAATGCCTTGTCTGCAGCTTTAAGCTTGTTCACACTCCTGTCTTCTCCAAACTTCACAATTTCCATTTCTCTCCTCTCCATTTGCTGTTCTCTTTCACTAGTAGACCTGGAGAAGGTCAGAGAACTAGAATCATGCTGTAGCTTGAATGCTGTGATATCTTGAATTTCCTCCAAAGAATGAATGCCATTACTTTTAAATGCAATCCAACTTAAGTGCTCCAGGACATGGCCAGAATGAAGCAAGTCCTTGTGAGAATGTAACATTAATACCCTCCAGCACAGTTCTCGATAGGCGTCCTTGTTCTGCTCTGAAACCTCTCAAAGCAAGCCTTCGAGGCCTGTATTAAATTAACCGTCTGCTCTTCCAAACTCCCCTAAGAAGTACTCATCAAATTCTCTGTAGATTGTAAGACTTTTCTAGACTTCAGTGCCAAGCTCTTCAAAGTTATTTTCTCACAAGCTAGTTCCAAATGTCTAAGGACCAGTCAGCTATTTCACAGCAACAACTTTACTCTCGGTCTCAGGTTTCAGTCTTAATTACTCTTCTCATTGCTATCACAACAGAGCTGACAAAAGAAGCTTACAAAAGGATCTCTTTCGGCTCACAGTTTGAAGGTACAGTCCATCCCAGCAGGGAATGTAGGGCAGTGAGATCAGTTCTAGCTCAGGGAGAAGGAGCATGATCACACTGGGTCCAAATTCAGAGAGTGAGAAATGAATACAGTGCTTGTTCTTCCTTCTACTGAGTCCAGTACCATCTACACTCAGGCTGTATCTTCCCACCTCAGTGTCCTCCTAGATGTCCTGTGAAGTCTGTCTCCTAGCTGGAAATTCAGTCAAGTTGACAGTCAAGGTGGTCCACAATGAAGGACATGGCTTTGAAGAGCATCTACAGTTATACTGATGTAAACAGCGAACAACGTGTAACTGACACTGTGTCATATCTATAGCAGAGAGGTTAGAGATGAGAAACAAGTGTATATCTGAAGAGACGGTAAGACAAAGGAGATTGATTTACTTAAGTACAACAGGAAGATATCAGTAGACAATGTTTAAATTTTTAAAAGCAGTATATTTAGAGATGTAGAATTAGATAACAAAAATATTTCCCCCAATATTGCTTTCCATAATACAGCTTCTATAATCTCTATAGAATTTACTTCTAACTGTTAAAAAATGAGACCAAGCGAGGCATGGTGGCATATGTTTTTAATCTTAGCACACAGGAGACAGAGACAGGTTCATTTCTGAGTTCAAGACCAGCTAGGTCTATATAGCTAGTTTTGGGCCAGCCAGAACTCCACAGTGAGATGCTGTCTCAAAACGAGCAAACAAACAAGCAAATCCACCTTAATTATTAATAGTTAGTATCATTATGTTATGACTTAGATTATTTGGGATATAAGCTGAAGAAATTTAGCACAATAAAGTCAATATATAATAATTATAAATTATAACAGTACATGTTAAATTTCTATTTTATAAAATAAAGTCAAATAACTTTTAGAATCCCTTTAAATGATCTTCCTGAATGTATTCAGTATTCTGATGATGTATTATCTTCACTGAAGTTTCAAAGAATGAGAAATTTTTTTTAAATTACCCAATACCTCTTTCGGAATTTGGATAGTGTAACATGATCAGAACATAACATCCAAGTTCTTTGTCCTTATGCCACAAAATCTTGATGAATTTCTTCAAATATTTTTAAAATAACAAACAAAATTCCCCCTAATAATTTGAGAATTTGCAAATGAAATAAGAGTGTAGATGTAACCAACCTTCTTATTAAATAAGAAACACAGAACCAATGCAAAGAAGAAAGCCAAGAGATCAGAGCTAAGAGCTAAAACCTTACCCTTCCTCCTGCCATGGTCCTACCTCTCCGAACCAGAACTACTTTCTGTGTTAAAGTCCTTATATAGAATTTCTGTTCTGCCTTCTCATTGGTTGTAAACCCAACCACATGACCGCCTCATCACGGCCTGTCTGTATAGACCTCCAGGTTTTCCATGATTGGTATTGAGATTAAAGGCATGTGTATCCAATACTGGCTGTATCCCTGAACACACAGAGACTTACCTAGCTCTGCCTACCAAGTGCTGGGATTACAAGCATACGCCACCACTGCCCTGCTTTCCTATGGCTTGCTAATAGCTCTGAGCCCTGGGCAACTTTATTTATTAACATACAAATAACATTTTAATACAAATAAAATATCACCATATAAGAGTCAATAACACTGGCACTATTATAAACTAATGTGGCAAATTTGACAAAGTCAAAAAATTTTGTTAGATATAAAATATTAGGAATCAGTTTCCTCCAAAGCTGCTGCAATTATGATAGAACAAAGATTATTACAAATGAGTATATAAACAGATTGAGTGAATGACTGATAAAATCAAGTATATCATCAGCAAATACATAATGTCACAAGGCAAATTACACTAAAGCTATGAAATCAAAGAAGGGGAGAGAGATGAACACACATAGAAACATTTATTCCAATTACTTTTCACCACTAAATACAGACTATTTCTGAATTTAGTGTTTTGGTTCATTTGTTTTAGGGCAGAATATTATTTAGGTTTAGGTTATACGGAATACTAGAAAAATAGGTTCATAATATTAACACAAAATCAGAGAAAACCAAATAGATGTAAGGTTGATCAGAGATGATGCATGTTTAGAGACAGATGAGGTGGTAAAGGGGGCATGAGATAACAACAAGAAGCAACTTTACAACATTTCAAGGCATCTAAAAAGACGAACTTTAAGTGAAATGCTTCCACCTACCTCCTTTCTTGCTATTTAGAAACATCTTAATAGATATATTAAATTTTTTTCCCACACCTCCTCTCCCCTAGATCTACTTCCCTCTGCTTCCTTTTCTGAAAAGAGCAGGTCTCCAAGAGACAACAGCCAAACAGGACAAAAGAAGATACAATAAGAAAAGGTGAAAGCCCTTCAGCCTTGATAGATTGCATTTTTAAAGTTTGGTATATATATACATATATACATGAAAGAAAAAACTGTGAAACAAAATGCTAAAAAAATATTAATAAGAACTTTAAATTGGCTTGGCATAGAGGTACAAATTTGGGGATTGGAACTCTAGGACAGGGAGAAATGTAGGAGAAAAATAATGATGCATATTCAAAGATGGAGAGGCAGCTCAGTTCAAAACAACCTTCTAATGATTAGTTTTCTATTTTTCCTGTTCTGTGTTGGGCATATTCTCTCTCTTTAAATGTTTTCTTTCATAAAAAGTTGGTTAATAATCCAATGGTCATTTGTTAGTAGAGCTTTGAGGAATGAACAGAAGATTACCTGTGCAAAGAAAAAAGGTCACAGAGGCAAGATAGTGAACAGGGATTGGGAGCAGGGAGATGACTGGATGATGGAGAGTTTCCCATTCTCCCCACCACCTAAGGAATACCTAGGAAACTGGAGGTGCCTACTTTTCCAGTGTATTTAGAATGTGGAGCTAACCAATTTTATTTGCTCATCACACTAGGCTGACAATTTTGAGGTCTTCAGAACGCACATCAGCAGCTCTTCTTTTCTTCAGCTAAAATAACTTGAAACATAAAAGTTATGGCATATGATAGCTAACTGCAAGTGAATGATGTCTTTGAATAAAGACATATCACAAATAAATTTTGATGGGATAAGGGGATTAGATTTAAAAGTTTAAAATAACCAATGTTTGGTGTATGTGTTTCTCAGCAGTAGCTCATGTAATTGTTATAAAAGCTCCGAGGCCATGAGTCCCATTCTATTATTCATGAGGAAAGTGGACCTGCATACACCATAACACTTTCCAAAATGACTGAAGTGAGTAAAAGCCTTCACTAGACCACAAACATATCCAAATCTTATGGGGGAAGGGCCTTCAGAAGTCTGCTTTCTGTCCTTATACTAAACAGCAGCAAATTTATAAAAAGAGCAGGTGTATAGTTTCAGAAGCTCCAGTTTGTGATTAGACAGAACCATCCCTTATACTATTCAGTGGTGGTGCGATGGCAGAGCATGTGATGGAGCAAAGCTGCCTACGTGTGTGAACAGGAGGATCAGTGAGATGGATGGCTAAACAGACAAAGGTGACTGACACAGAAGAGTGGTCACTAAAGCTTGATCCCTGCAGGCACTATGGAAAGGTGGAAGGAAGGAAACAACTCTTAGAAAGTTGTCCTCTGATCCCCCTCCCCAGCTGATAATTAAAATTTAAATATTTTCCTGGCCAGGAAACAAAAAGGAGTTAAGAGTAAGTGACCAGAGTTCCATAATCTCTTTCTGAGAGCATTCTTCATGATCTTAAATATCTCTTGCTAGACCTCATCATTTTCCTTAGGAAGTGTTCAGCACATGGACTTTGTGGTGGGCACTTAAGATCTAAATCATTACAAGAAGAGAGAAGACAAATTAGGCTTACTTCGAATTTATGCATTCTTCTGAATAGGAAAATCAGCTTAACATACTATATGTAAAATAATGCAACTATTTCAAAATGTAAGTATCATTTAGTAATCTAGATGGCGTAAAAATTGCTAAAAATTACTGTTCATGCTTAGAGAGGTTATTCTCCCAGAGAAATTCTTTTAGTAATACTTTTATGATGAAATATCCATCTACATTCGCAATCATATTGTACGTACTGTTTCTTTTTTTCTATTATACCTAAATATATAATAGAAAGAGATCTGCATTTCATTAGCCAGTTATATAGAGAATCTTTAAGCCAAAATTAATAAAAGTTAGTCAACAAATATGTCATTTTATTATCAAAGTGCTGATGAAAGTATGAAGTCTAAATACAAATGAGGCAGAAATTTAATGCCATTTAAAAGAATGGAATAAAATTTGGACTTAGGAACTGAACCACTAAAGAGAACAACTACAGTTTCTAAATGAGATGTTCATCTTTAAATTATTAGTTTGTTATGTATCTAAAAGTCTATGCATGAGTGGGTGCCAAATGTGGATCTCTCTACCATATAAAATTTGATTTTCTCATAATGATCCATTCAAAGCACAGAGAAAATCAGTTTTTGTGCTGATTTATATTTCTCAAGCATGCAATCTTCCCTGATCACATTGGTGATAATTACTGTTTTTATAGAGTTGGTGTTGGAAAGGCCAACTTAGCTTTATTTTCTGTTCCTAGTTATATTCAAAATGAAATCTATTGATTGAAAATGGTGATGGGAGAGTTTACTTAGTGTTCTTCTTTTTGTTAGGTTTCATTTTAATTTGTATTTGGGGTAACATCATTTTGTGTTTAAGTAACTCATTCAATGGATAAATTATATATATATATATATTAGACATGGAAAATATTCTCTGTACCTATGCTTTACTCACACTTAGTGTTATTGAATACAGATCAGTGTTCTGTCAAAGTTTTCATTAAAATTATATAGCAAAGGAACCAAAAGAACCAAAAGCAAATGATCACAGCAGTACACTTTACATTCAGATTTTCTTTTATGTATGTAATAGTCCTATGAATCATACACTATGATTATCTTCTTTTATTGATAAGGGTGCTGAAGAACAGAAAGGCTAGCAACACAATTGGTAAATGAAATAAATGAGTACCTAACCATTTTACTGTATCAAACTTGAAAGGTCACTTTAAACTAATAGAGACCAATACAATGATTATTGATGAAAGCATCAAAGAAAAATGTCTCAGAATAATCCATTTAAAAAAAAAGTATAATGGTTTCTTTTATAAATGTCCCTCTCTCCAGAATGTATTTGTTCTTCATTAGTTCTAAAAATCAGGGTTTGGCATGCATTGACTCAGTCAATGTTTGTTCTTTTTGGTTTCTGGTTTTCTCTTTATCACAAATGCAACACATGAATAAGCTGGCAGATACTTTACCCAAGGAGAGTCTCCTTATGTATCACTTTTCTTATTAGGATTATGTGCTCACCTGTGGGTTGTAAGGGAACGAGATTCATAAGATCTACA